AGAATATCCGCTTGGATATTAGCGCAGTCGCCGATGTAGGCTTCTTGATAGTGTTTGTGTAGATCGATATAGAGAGCGTTGCAGATGCGCGTCTTGTTGTCCTCAATCATCCACCAAGCCCGTTTCAGTTGACGACGCCTCCATTCCTTGCTCTTGGTGGTGCCAGATGCAAAAGTACCCTGTACAATTTGATACGCCTAGAAAATGTGAGGGGTGATATCAAATAGTATATGGATGAAATTTACCTGATCGAACTCGGCCGTAGTGCTGAAGCCACCCATGGTGAGCTTTGGAGATGTGGAGAGGTGGAAGAAGACGAGGTTATGGGGAATACCCACACTTGAATCTGACCTCCTGAGGACCCTGGTCTAAGACTGCAGTTTATTTTATAAATATGTCATGCACGATTCTGTTTCGTTAATTTAGATTGACCTTGAGATTTTTATGGTCGCGAAATGAGTCTCGGGGTGAGATTTGTACGCTCCCCGAGGCCGAGGTGCAGTATTATTGCATTAGGAAATAGAATCGCCATTTCCCTTTCCTGGATGTCGAAGATGTCTACTCCGTATGGAGTATGCCGATCTGAAAATCTAGACACTGGGTATTCTGGCTGAAACGTCGGGTTTGGCCATGCTAATATGCACAGTCGGGGTTCTATCTACTATGTAGTCTATAACTATCCAGTTTAGACATACACCGAAGCCTGCAATAACTGTTTTTATAGCATTTGCCGTCTGTTCAATCATCTTAGCATCAATAAGCTACCTCTAGCCTAGTAGGAGACTCTAGATTCCTTATCCAAAGCCCCTTTTGCCACCACCAAACCCTTAAGATAAACACCAAAGTGGGTATTCCAATATCGCAGCGAATAGAAACCAACAAAGATAGGAATGCCAATAAATACAGAGACACTTATCTCCTCGGCTCACATATAACAGGGGGGCTGCTCCTCCACTCATGCGGGGTAGACGTTGAACAATGACTGCAATTTCGAGAGCTCGTACAGGTTGCTGGACATGTCGTGCACGACGTATCAAATGTGACGGTAATTTCCCATCAAGTCCTGCATCAACACAGTCCTAACTGAAATCTTGGTTAGAAACCCATCCAATTTGCCGTCGTTGCGCCCGTAACAATGCCCCATGCGGATACGGACTTCGTCTGGTCTGGCACGAGGAATCTTTAGCCCGAGGCATCTGCCATGGAAGAGCAGGGGTATGGTCCAAGCGAAAAGACGTTCGCAAGAGGGAACTGGAACAAGTAGACGACACATCATCGTCATGGACGGAGCATACGGCCGACCGGACTTGGATGTTTTTGAACACGACAATGATCGATCTCCAGATCCATTTCGATGGTACCCAGCCCAATTACAAAGGCATGAAGCCAATTTCTCAACCAAGCCCGTTGTCGCCTTGGCTGAATACCATAGCTCCTGGCCAGCGATCAGATTGCGATCCGGTGCTTATGTCTTATTTCGAACACATCATCTGCAGCAGCTCAACTCTCGTCGATAGCGCAAGTTACAATCCATATCGATATCTCATACTTCCTATGGCCCTGCAGTCTGAGGGACTATACCACGCTGCTCTAGCCATCTCAGCCAATACCCTCAAGTTGTCAGATCAGCGATACCGGCTTCCGGCATTGGAGCATCATCATCGGGCACTAAATCACCTGCGCGGTCTACTGAATCAAGACAGCTGGACGGAAAATGAGCTGGATGAAATGCTTGGGCTGGTCTTGATGTTATGCTGGTTCGATGTAAGATTATGCCTTGCTTCCTTTACTATGAGAATCTCCTAATTCCTTTGCAGATATCAGACAGCAGTCGCCCTTCATGGGTCACCCACCTCAACGGATTCCAAAATTTAATGCGGACACGAAAAGAACGCCCCGGTCGCTCATGTCACAGTCAAGAATTGGCAAGTTTCTTCAATCGTTATTTCGTCTTCCACTTAGTTCTAGCCCGCACTGCGTTTCGGCTCACCCCCCCCCCATCCCATATATCGCCTCTCTTGCCGGACAGTATACTGGAAAAATCAGACATCATCGATCCGTACATGGGATTGAGCCCTGCTCTCTTATTGATGATCGATCAAGTAGCCGAACTAGCGTGGTCTCGTGAGGATGGCAACATAAAAATCAACCGTAAAGATGTTCATCAACTCAAGACGGACCTCGATAGTCTTCAACAAAGGATACCCACAGAACATATCGATCCGGACATGGAGTGTGCGGCAATCGCAGAGGCAAACAGGCTCGGGGCCCTTCTTCTTCTGCACGAAATCTGTTCGACCAAAGCCCCGATTAATCGCTCCGGTATCCCGACATTGGAATCCGAAGAGAAGAATGTTTATGTTGAACGGATATTGACCTTGATGTTGGAAAAGAAGGGGAATATGATGCGAACTGCAGCTACACCTCTATGGCCTCTCTTCTTGGCAGGGTGCTGTGCCTGCAGGGAAGAGGAGAGGGTTATTGTGTTGCAGTTGTTTAAAGAGCTGGAGGGTATTCGTCGATTTGGGGTATGTATAATCTTCTGTCTCTTTCTAGTTGATTGACTAACATCATTATTCCCCAGAACATTACCCCTGCGATTGAAGTTGTCGAAATGGTCTGGCGCCAGCGGGATCTGTCGGTGCAAGATGAAAGAAAACTCCAGAAGAAGCTTAATGCACAGCGGCAGAATGATCCCTTGCAAGAGAGCCGGTTTGCGTGGGAGCATGCTATGGTCATGCTGGGTGGGTGGAAGCTCAGCTTGACATGAGCTTTTATATGGGTAATGAAGGGTTTTATCATGTTCTTGTATATATTATTCTAGAGATGGTCTCAATTTGTATAGCCCGCAGTCAAACTGTGTTTAATTGTTCGACTTCACTCTACCTTGCACCTTTCATCTAGACAAATCATAGTTTAGAAGCATGGCTTCTTTCATGTGTATGTCTACCCTTCCACCCTGTAAGGTCGCTCAACTCCATTTCCGGATCCAAGTGCGCTAGGTTCTTCGCAGTACTCTTTTGTCCAGCCCTCCATTTCCATTGACGCACAATCTCTGGGTCAAGAGTTCCCTCGAGCAAATCCGCGACATATTTCCCAACGACAGGAAGGAACTTGAACCCATGTGCTGAGCCACCGGTTGCCAGGAAGAGACTTTGGTGAGTAGGATGAGGCGTGACAAGGAAATGCCGATCAGCTGTATCAGCATCCCAGCAAAGCCGTGTATAGCAGAAGGGTCTGTCTGCAAGCTCGGGAAACACGCGCCGTAAATTCCGGCGCATCTGGGCTTCGATCTCGAGAGGGAGGCCATCGGTGGGTGCCTGCACGAACGTGTGCGGGACAGAAGTGGTGATACCAGACTTGGTGGTTTGCACGTTGGTGATGAATTGACTGTGAGCCACCTTGAATATCCCATCTTCAAGAGGTGGGAAGAAGTAGCCCAGCTCGAGGTTATCCATAATGGGCATTGAGGCATAGTGTTTCGTTTCAGAAGGGGTGAGCTGGATATGAGCGACACTGTGTCCCTTGGCAGTCAACTGGTCCTTCACGTCTAGCAGTGAAGGCGTCCACGCGCCTGCGGCCAAGATGACCACATCCGCCTCATGTCTCGTGCCATCTGCAGTGACGACTCCCTTGCAATCTCCCGTGACATCATCCAGTATCAACTCTCGAACCCTCCCCTTTGTCTCCCCCGAAATATATTCCACCCCCTTCTCCTGAGCAGCGCCTGCCATCCGCTCGATAGCTGCACCAGAAGCTGCCCACCCGGCTGTTGGGTTCCACACATTGATATTCCACCCGTCCAGCTTTCCCGTGACAACAGACCAGCGAGCACGGATCTGGTCCGGCGTGAGCTTTTCAAGGCCCTGTACTCCAAGCTTCTTGCATGTCTCGATCGAACCCTCGACAAAGGGCCGGGACAGGTTCGCCGCGCTCAGGATCCATCCAGGGACATGGTAGAGTCCACGAAACAGCGGCCAAGACCGCCACGCTTCGATGGACTCAATTCCAAGACGTGCATATAGCGGTTCGTTGTAATCGCTGCGGATGACCTTACTGATATCGGTGGAGGCTGCTTCGCAGGAGGGGGGTGCGTATGGGTCGAGCACGCGGATGGAGGTGTAGCCGCGCTGTGAAAGGTGGTATGCGGTCGAAATGCCGAAGCAGCCGGCACCGACAATGAGGATTCGCGTGTCTTTCTCCATCATGTGAGCTGGATTGTTGTGGTGACTAGGTTTGACTTCTCAAACTTTGAGGGTGGCGCCGCCATATTTATTGAGGCATTTCCGCCTTCTTTCGGAGAATCTGATTTCGCTACCAGCTTCCTCATGAACAATCAAAGGTATTGTGAAGATGTTCTCGTATGCGGGGAGATAATCGACTGCTTCGTTCCGACCTTCCGATAAAGGTCTCACTGCCCGGAGATACTCGGAGAATCTCCGAGTGGATGCTCGTTTCGACCTGCATTCTTTTACCCCAGCATTTCCCCCAACTCAAAGATTGCCCAGGTGCTTAATCTTATTTGTTTCCGATGGACGATTAGATTATTCAAATTAACCTTCCAAGGAAGTATGCCAAAGATAACACAACGTTCTCTCGGGCGACAATGAAATGAATGGCTGATATCGCAGAAAATCGCCTAATCGTACAAAGTGTCCACTAATAACCAGATCATTCGTGACAAACTTCTTACTTAGATATGCGGAGAGCTTATAGATACACAGTATCATACGTATTAACCTATATATGTCTATAACGGTCTACGAGTCTAGGTATCGAGGTTCTCTATGGCACCTTCTTAATCATAGTTTGTCCTCTAGAAGAGATAAACAGTCTTGGCTTATTTCAGAGTGATACGATAAAATACCGATTAATGACTAGTTCAAAGGGCATGGCGTATATCAGAATTGCCAATTATTCCATTGCGTACATTTGCCAGTATATCCATATCCTTATCAACAGTAACCCACATCTCCACACACATTCCAAGGCTCACTATCCTAATAAGTATACCGGAAAGAGCGTTTTTCTTTATCGGTTAGATCCGAGAATGCAGCTTCGGATATCTCCACATTTGACTCGGCTTCCTTGTCACGGCGGTAGTTTTCCCATCGGCAAAGAACCCCATAGGAAATAATGGCAACTATAGCCACAACAAGACAGGCCAGAAGACCCTCGTATCCTCGAGAGTACGATGGTGCATCATCGGAACGGAAACACTGGGGACCAATGATGTTGCCAATACAATACGCCAAGAAGAAGATGGCGTTCATGGTCAACTTTTTGCTATGGCCGCTGGTATTGGCCATTGGAAGTGAAGTCGACAGCACGTACGGCGCCCAGTAGGTGTAGAAGACATAGTATGCCGCCAGAAGACCATGCTGGTTCTCACGTGGCAGCTTCCACATCAGAATAGCGCAGATCATGGGGACCAGGTTGGCCAGGGCGATAATAGTACAACGGGAGTTGGGCACGCTAGCAGCTAGGAAGCCCAGCATGATCTGCCAGACCGTTGCAAGCACACCGGTGGGGATACCAAGGATGGTGGTGATCAATGAGGAATACCCCAGACCCTTCACAATAATAGCCGAGAAAGTCACCAGACCACCATTGGGGATGTTCTGGGCCAGCGAAAACAGCGCCAGAAGCCAAGTCTTGGGGTCGACTAAACACTCACGCACTTGGTACCACTTGATGGTTTTGTCTTCCATGCCGGTATTGTTGTCTTTGACGCGCTCGAGGCAGACGAATTTCTCGCGGTCCGAGAAATACCAGCATTGCACGGGCGAATCGGGCAAGAATATGTACAAAACGACGGACCAAAGGACGGAGAATCCACCTAGCACAAGGAAGAGCAATCTCCAGGGTCCTACCGACGTGTTCGTTTGGCCAATACCGTAGCTGATCAAGCCGGAGAAGACGGAGGAGAGCTGATTGAACCAGAATGCGACACGGAGAGGCTGCTCGCTTGTCTTCCACCACATGACAGTCAAGATGCTGGAGATTGGGAACACGGCGGCTTCCGTCATGCCCATTAAGAAGCGCACGGTGGCTAGGCCCCCAAAAGTTCTGCGTTGCCGCAGTACACAACAGCAGAATTGCCCAGCCCAAGACCATGCCCACATACAGTTTAGCCACAGGAAGCCGCTGAATGAGTAACGCTGTAGGGTATTCAAAGGCGAGGTATCCAAAGTAGAAGATTGAGCCTACCCAAGAGTACTGATCGCCAGTCAAGTGGGTGTCTGTCTTCATGCCGTAGATGGCCGCATTTGAGATGATGACCTTATCAATAGCGGCGAGAACCACTGTCACCATGATCAAGGGAATGAGGATCAGATCAATTTTCCAAAGCACACGGCGCGCTTCGGCCTCGGTGACAGGTTCCACCGCGATGGCAGGGTCCAGGTGAGCGAGGAAGTGTGCCGCAACATCTTTGCCGTTGGATTTCTCTTGGGCTTCAAGGATTTCTCCTTCTTGGGCCTTTTCGTGATCAAGGGCGAGTTGAATCTCGGGAGGGTTGGTATGTTTTTCGTCTGCCATAGTAAAAAGTGTGTATATATTATCAGGAGGTAGAAAGGGATGCGTACACATCGAAAACGAAGGAGATAGTCATTTGGGATGGTTTTATACTTTGGAACATCAGAGTGAAAGATAGGTCCAAGGTTATCCAGACGGTTATCATGGAAAGTGAAGTGAACGAAAGTTTGGGTGTGCCAGGAAGGTCGGACCGACTGATAAGCGCATCTCCACGTTCCTCTCCCCGTTCTATCTCGGTGTTCACCAGCCGGTGGATTAGATTGTGGCGTTCTGGTTTTCTTCAAGTTACTTCGCTTCGACCTGCTGATTAGTTCTAATGGAGCTAATGGAGCTTCATAAAAGGAAGCTTTGGTCCTTGCATTCTCAGGGTATCTGAACATATCGCATATCATGTCTACCCAATTAGGTGCCCCAAGCATCAAGATCGCCATCGGTGAGTCACTTGCAAGTTTATAATTCATATATAGCAAGGTGTTAATGTCCCTTCTAGATCGTGGTGGTACTTTCACCGACTGTCTAGGTATTGTTGATGGTCGCGATGAGGAAATCGTCGTCAAACTGCTTTCGCAGGATCCAGCCAACTATGCCGATGCTCCGATTGAGGGCATCCGGCGTATTCTGGAGCAAGCAACAGGCAAAACCTTTCCCCGCGATCAAAAACTCACAACTGCCGACTTCTCGGATGTTAGCATCCGCATGGGAACAACAGTCGCTACCAATGCTTTGCTCGAACGCAAGGGAGAACGTCATGCACTCTTGATCACAAAGGGCTTCAAAGATGCTTTGCGTATTGGAACCCAGTCTCGACCAAAGCTGTTTGCGCTCAACATCCAACGTCCTGATGTTTTGTATGAGGACGTTGTTGAGATTGATGAGCGTGTCACAATTGAGGATTATCAACAGAATCCCACCCCGGACAAAGAGAGTCTGCAAAAGTCTTTGCAATCAGATGCCTGTTTGAAAAAAGGTGTTAGTGGAGAAGTAGTTCGCGTCTTGGAGCCTCTTGACGAGGAACGTACAAAGCAGAGCCTTCAGCAGCTGTATGAAAAGGGCTATCGCTCTATCGCGGTCTGTTTGGTTCACTCATACACATTCCAAGACCATGAACTTGCAATTGAGAAGATTGCAAAGGAAATCGGATTCACCCAGATCTCCCTTTCTAGCCAACTCTTGCCCATGATTAAGATGACATCTCGTGGTGCTTCGGCTACCGCAGATGCGTACTTGACGCCAGTCATTCAGCGTTATATTCAAGGCTTCCGCTCGGGTTTCAAGGACGGACTGAGCTCTGCCAATACACGCTGCGAATTCATGCAGAGTGATGGCGGTTTGGCTAATTTTGAAAAGTATGTTGACATTCAATTACCAGGAATGCAGAAAAGAAATTTTACTAATCTCTTTTAGATTCACTGGTCTTCGTGCGATCTTGTCTGGCCCAGCAGGCGGTGTTGTGGGATACGCGGGAACTTCATTCGATGAGACAGATAGAAAGCCTGTCATTGGGTGAGTCTAAATTTACCTTATTCTATGAAGGGATCATCAACTAACTTTCCAGATTCGATATGGGCGGTACTAGCACAGACGTCTCCAGATATGACGGAAAGCTGGAACACACCTTCGAGAACAATATCTCCGGTGTAACAGTGATGGCACCCCAATTAGACATCAATACGGTAGCTGCCGGCGGTGGTAGTATTCTCTTCTGGCGACATGGATTGTTTGCAGTTGGTCCCGAGTCTGCAAGTGCCCACCCAGGACCAGCATGTTACCGCAAAGGAGGCCCTTTGACTGTGACTGATGCCAACCTTTTCCTTGGCCGCCTTCTTCCGGCATACTTCCCTAAGATCTTCGGCCCGAACGAGAACGAAGCCCTCGATGTCGAAATCACGCGGAAGAAGTTCACGGAGCTCGCAGAGCAGATCAATGCTGAAACCGGACAAAACAAGTCCCCGGAAGAGATCGCGTTGGGCTTCATTCAAGTAGCCAACGAGTCTATGGCAAAGCCTATCCGAGCCCTTACAGAGGCACGTGGGTACGATACTTCCGCGCATAACCTGGCCTGCTTCGGTGGTGCCGGAGGACAGCATGCTTGCGCCATTGCCTCTTCGTTGTCTATTGGAACTGTCATCATCCATCGATTCTCGTCTATTCTCTCTGCCTACGGCATGGCTCTCGCGGACGTTGTTCACGAGGCTCAAGAGCCAGCATCAGGAGTGCTGGATCAGACAGCCATGGAAAGCATCACTAAGCGTATCGCTGCGTTGAAGTCAAAGGTCACTACTGCGTTAACCACGGACGGCATTGATGAAACTCAGATTCAGCATGAGATTTACCTCAATCTGCGATACCAGGGTACCGACAACTTGCTGATGGTGCTCGAACCTGAACACGGAGACTTTATTGCTGAGTTTGTCAAAGAGCACGAGCGCGAATTTTCCTTCACATTCCCCGGTCGTAACATTCTCGTCGAAGATATCCGAGTCCGAGGCGTTGGAAAGGCAACCTCTATTGCGCCAGAGGCACCTCAACAAGAACTCAAATCAGTCAGCAAAAAGCCCGTGGGCCCAGAGAAGCAGGATGATTCATCTTCTGTCTACTTTGCCGGCGTCGGTGAAGTCGCTACGCCGGTCTTCTTCCTGGATAACATGCAACCTGGATATGTCCTTGAGGGTCCTGCGATGATCATTGATAAAACTCAAACTATTGTTGTTGAGCCAAATGCCACTGCTACAATTCTGTCCCGGCATGTGATTTTGGATGTTCAGTCTTCGAAGAAGCAGACTGCGGGTGCAACAGTCGTGGATCCTATCAGATTGTCTATCTTTGGTCATCGCTTCATGTCCGTCGCTGATCAGATGAGTCGCATGTTCCAAAAAACCTCCGTGTCAACAAATATCAAAGAGCGACTGGACTTCTCCTGTGCCGTGTTCTCTCCCGATGGAAAATTGGTTGCAAACGCGCCGAATGTGCCAGTACATCTAGGAAGTAAGTCATCCCCATTTAGAAAAATTCTCTTTTGACCAAGAGAACTTCATGCTAATATCTTCTTCAGGTATGGAGTATGCTGTCCGGTATCAGCATGAGAAATTCGGAGGCAATTTGAAGCCTGGCGATCACATTCTCACCAACCATCCTCTTGCCGGTGGAACACATCTTCCCGACATTACTATTATCACTCCAGTCTGGGATGGTGAGGGCAAAAACATTGTCTTCTATGTTGCCTCCCGTGGTCATCATGGTAAGCCTGAAATTATTCTCATTTCCCTTCACTATTTCACTATTTGTCGTGTCATGCTAATCAAAACCAGCCGAAATTGGCGGCATCGCCCCGGGATCTATGCCTTCAAACAGCAAAATGCTGTACGAGGAAGGCGCCATGACAATGGGCTTCAAGGTGGTATCAGAAGGCCGCTTTGATGAGGAGATAGTCCGGAAGTTCCTATATGATGAGCCCGCTTCGTACCCCGATTGCAGTGGCACCCGGACATACAACGACAACGTCTCAGATTTGAAGGCTGCTATTGCAGCAAACCACAAGGGTGCACAGCTCCTGGAAGCTCTGGTGATCGAGAACACATTGGAAGTAGTCCACTTCTACATGGACGCAATCAAGCGCAACGCAGAGGTTGCTGTCCGTGAACTGCTCAAGTCCATTGGCCGTAAGAACAACGGCGTTCCTCTCCGATTCTCTGACTTCATGGACGACGGCACCGAGATTAAGCTGGAAATTCGTATTGATTCTGAGACTGGGTCTGCCGATTTCGACTTTACAGGCACGGGCCGAGAAACATTCAACTGCCTCAATGCCCCCAAAGCCATCGCCCACTCAGCTATCATCTACAGTCTGCGGGCGCTGATCGATGTTGACATTCCCCTCAACCAGGGCTGTCTTGCCCCGGTCAATGTAATAATTCCCTCTGGTACACTTCTCAATCCATCCGGGCATGCCGCCGTCTGCGCCGGTAATCCCATTACCTCACAGCGTATTACAGATGTCGTTCTTGGTGCATTCAACGCCTGTGCTGCCTCCCAAGGCTGCTGCAACATCATCTCATTTGGTATGGGTGGCGTCGATCCCAAGACCGGCATTGAGGTACCTGGATTTGGCGTTGGCGAGACAATCTGCGGCGGCTCAGGTGCTGGGCCGTCCTGGAATGGCACGTCGGGCGTGCATGTCCACATGACAAACACACGCATCACAGATGCAGAGGTCTACGAGCTACGGTACCCGGTCATCCTCCGCAGGTTTTGTATCCGAGATGGCTCTGGCGGTGTTGGTCGCTTCCGCGGTGGAGATGGTGTTATCCGTGAGCTGGAGTTCCGCATGCCTCTTTCGGTGTCTATGCTCAGTGAACGGCGCGTTTACCGTCCGTATGGGTTGGCGGGAGGTGAGTCCGGACAAGCAGGCTTGAATCTTTACCTCAAGAAGGAGCTCGACGGAACGGAGAGAATGATCAATATTGGTGGCAAGATGGAGCTCATGGTCCAACCTGGGGAGCGAATTCTGATTCATACGTGAGTGGTCTACATCCTTCCTCGTTCATCTGGACATATATGCTGACATTTCTTTTGATTTAGACCTGGAGGTGGTGGCTGGGGTAAGGCATCCGACGATGAACTAGTGGCGAGTGACAGCAAGAGTCATCAGAGCTCTTCGGCTTTCCAGCCCCGAGGAAGTGTGCATGCATTCAGTGTCGCTGCCGAGGCGGCAATGTGACATGGGGATATAGATGAGGATTGAATCATGTAGCCAGAGATTTGCATTTTTGATTTAACATTATGCAGTGATGTCTTTCATGAAGTATTGATATTGTTCTTGTGCAGATATAAAAACATATTAGCAGACCATGACTACCGCTCGATTTCAGAAGATCCCAATTATTCTTTTCACTGTTACCGTAAGTCTTCTCATTTAGCAAAAGTCTGATTCTTCGTCCGTGGTCCAATCTATCGCATTGACATCTTTGATCTGACATAAGAGATGCAAATGGTCGTACTGCTTTAGATTGTGCTAAAATGCTCAATAAGACTGAAGTCGCCAAAGTGCTGGAGAATGCACATAAATAGGAAAATAACAAGTCCATCAGTACTATAAGGTTCAAGTTACGAAGAGTCGTTTCGGTTAAGGGACGCTATCAGTTTGAACTAATGGAGGTAAAGGTCACAGGAGCAATATGACTGTCTTCAACTAAAAGTGTGCAAGTCAAAGAATGTGCCTGTAGCTATATGGCCCCCACGTGACCGTAGCCCGGCGAACCAGTGTTTACCAAAAGTTTTGGCTCCCTCGATGCCCGACAAATTTATTCTTTCGTGCATTCATCTCGCAGAACCTCCCTTTATTCAACTCTTACTTCCGCACACATATTGACTCCACATTTATTCAACCCCTTAACCGCATCCCATCTACCGTCATGGAGTACCATTCCGTCCCACCGGAGGAACGTGCCAGAGACGAAGATGGCAACCTCCTCCCTTGGGGTTATGTTTACAAAGAGTATGTTTAATGTATCGTGTAGCTCCTCTTTTATCGAAGCTAACAAATATGTCCCAGTGAATCTCGCAACCCTCGACGACCACCCGAAGAATCAGGACCATTCGGCAAGAGAAGAAACGCTCGATACGATAATGCTCGCTCACGAACACGGACTGGAACACCAGCAAAGCGCGAGAACCCCAATGTTGCTGAGTTTGGTCGACTATTCTCACAGCAACAACAGGAGGCCGAGAAAACACACGGCTTGCCCAAGTCATCATCATCATCCAGTCTTGACAATCCACGGAAGCAAACAGAGAAGGTCGCAACCGAATGCATACTCTATGGGTACAAAAACAAGGACAACGAGTGGAAGGTGATCGAAAAATATGAGCGCATCTCCCAAGGCACGATCTGCGAAGACTACCCTCGCAACGACCCGAATTCATCGATCAACTACACCCATCTATTGAGCGGGGGTGACGTCGTCATCCGAAACCTGTCGGCTGATGCAAATCGCAAGTCGAAGCACTATGCCGGTGGATACCACTGGATCAAGGTCACATACGACTCGACCCAGTCCGCAGACCGCGCGCGCTTCTACTCGCCACAGGAAATTGATGGCCACCTGGTCTTTTGCGAGCTGTACAATGGCCACGGCCCAGCCGAAGACGCCCCAATCCCTGCAGATTCTGTTGCCAGCAGTCGGATTCGCAACAAAGCACCGCGCACCTTGACCACCTCGCACTCGACCGCCTTTCTCTCCAACCCCAGCAAAGATCAGGACCGCATGACATTGCCTCGATCCTTTGCCATGAACAACCTTTCCAGTGTACCGGATATGCCAGAAGACGAAAGGCACTCGGTCGATTCTTCAACGGTTGCTGGTACCTCCGACGATACAATGACATCCACTACTGCAACCTCTGCAACTGCCACTGCCACACCCTCGTTCCAGCAAAGCAGTTTCAATACAACAACTTCTTCGTCAACATGGACGACAGGAGCTTCGTCAAGTAACGATCGCGCCTCGATCCACCAACGCCGAGCTCCCGATCAGGCCGAACCCACCGCCAACAACGAATTCATGACGCATATTCCGACTGTCCGTCGCACCAAGCTGCGCCCCATGCTCGAGGCACTCCCTCCACAGCCGACCATGACTGAGCGCATCCTCCGCTCAATCCCCATCTTGAGCTGGTTTACAGGTGACATTGTGGGCGAGGGTCCGGTGCTCCGCGAGGATGGCACGTTCGATTCGGAAAAATCTGGCATTTATTGGAGGTTCTGGCATACGTTCGATTATTTCATGAGAACGGATATGTGCGGACTGAAGGAGGATAGTTGAGGCGACATGAAGGCCATTGAGCACTATGGAAATGGAATACTTTTTCGTCTTTTGTTATTCACTACATCACGGATCTTTCGCCCCAATTGCGAAGTCTTGCGCGCGATTAACCTAAAAACCGAATCGCTACACAGCTTGAAGGGCCAGTCCTCAACAATACTGCGCGCGTCGCGCAAGGCATGGGGGTCAATGGCTTTGCGGTAAAATGGATAATGTGTACGATAGCTGCGTCAGATGCAGACATAATGAACTGTCCTGTCGATGGACCGCGCAAAATTGATATCCCGTAGAACAGTAACAAGTACAATTCCTCAAACTTCTGCTTCAACAACTTTTCGGGTGGTTAATCCTCGAGCTGTCAGAAGTAAAATCCCCCCTTTCCGTCGCCAAGTGCATCAATAACGCTGGCACGTTATAAACCCATGCATCAACCCTGCCCGGAGGAAGAGACCAAACAGCCAGAAGAGAAAAAGAGAAAAAGAATCAACAAAAAACAACTCTCAAACCAGAGCTTAAATTTCATTGATCATAGACGAAAGTTTTTAAAGACTCGATTTAGTTCGCATCTAGGCGTGTTTATTCCTTAGTCTCGAAGTTCTCGCCCTCGACGAGGTCGGGGATGTCATCCTCGTCGTCGTCCTCCTTCTTATCACCCTGCTGCTTCTGCATGTTCTGGTAGCTCTCGGCGAGCTTACGCAGGGAAGCGAGGGAGTCGGGGCCGAGCTGGTTCAGAATGTTGGGGACGAGCTCGGTGAGCTCCTTCTCCTCACCGTTGCCGTACAGGGCGAAGGTGTTGGAAGGGACGGCACCGTGGACTATTGCGATGAAATGATTAGACTTTTTTGTTCTTCTTCTTTCCTTCGTCTCTTTGTGCTGAAAATGTCAAGGTCGGGTTTCGGGGTGGTTTCTACTCACCACGGGGGTTGGCGAAGTGGATGACGTTGCCGTCCTCCTTGAACATGTTGACCTCCTCGATACCCTGGATGGGCTGGACGTTCAGCTTCTTGAGGGCGGCCTGGAGCTTCTTGTCATCGGCGCCGGAGTTGCGGACGACCTTCTTGACCTTGCGGCGGGGAGTACCCTTGCCACTGTAAGATTGTTAGTCCGAGTTCGACATTGGACGGTTGAAAAATGTGGTATCGGTTTGGGTAAGTGGGTGAATGTGTGGTGGGGGGATGTGAATTAGGAGGGGTCCGAAAGGATCGAAGGAATGCGAGGATGACAAGGCCGAGAGTCAGACTGGATTTTCTGAGACATGCGATATGCGATATCTATGTTCGGTTCGAAATTTGGATATAGTGCGTCGCATAGATTCGAGAATCAAGAATCCGTAGTCTGACTATCGGCAGTGTCGAATCCGAGTATTGCAGTTCGAAAATTCGTTTCATTCGTAGGGAATCGAGAGGTTGGGATAAAAACAATGCTGGATAGAATATACATACCCTGTCAAGAAGAATCATGTTAGCTATCAAATTTGCACAGTTCAATGTCCACTAAGACATGTAAATTGCAGTTCTTGAGACATGGCCAAGCTCCGGGGCGACCGATTCCACAGAATCGCAACTCCACGTCATTGCCCAGTTCATATCTCAAGCTGAGAAATGGTTTAAAATAGAGAGAAACATACCGATGCGAACGCTCGCCTGCATTCTAGCCAACTTTGCCTGATCCATGATGAAGTCGGGAGGGGTGATCGCCTGGCGCGGAATTAGCTGGTGATTCGGGAAAATCCAAGATTTGGAGAGAATTGCAGAATCAATTATTCTAACAATCAATCTCTATTGCATACCGTTAAAAAGGAGTTGAGGGGGAGATGGTAGGAGGAAACGTGAAGTGGAAGTGGGTGGAATGATGATGCATCCCCAAGAGTTTTGTGTGGGGAGTTAGCCAGAATATTCGCTAATGCGCCGATTTGGGTTAACGGGCTGTTTGTGTTTCAACGTCTACACTCCTACATGTTTTACAAATTGACTCGATCGCGATAATACTCTATTTGTTGTTCTTCCTGGTGATTTTGGCTATTCGCAAGTTCCAGGGTTGTTGGATTGTGGGATATTTGGTGCTCGGCTAAACCCTAATCGGGCTGTCTTCGGAGTATATGACGAACATGGGACTTATCCTGACGCTTTGCACCCATTTTCATTCCACTATACGCTGCTGGCCATGTTCTCGTGGATTCCTGGCTTGCACCTTGCTTGGATGATGTTGTATGTGCCCTAGGTGTTCGAGCAAGGTCTCATTTTCTGGGATGAGAATGTTGCGCGCGTAACCTGCGAGGTGGACTACAGCATCTGGGTGTGGCGGGAGGTCTTCCGGGGAGGGCTTGCGGAGCGTCCATTGGCCAGGCACTTATCTAGGGGCTAGGACAGCATGACCGACATCGAAATCTATGCTTCCGGCTACTTACAGGCGGGAGAATGGCAACGCGCATTGCAGAACAATGTGCATTGTAAAAAGCAGAGCAAAGCTAAGTCGCAGATAATATCTCAGTCATATCATACATCCATATATATATACCTCGATGGTTCCATTCATTGCTTCGAAACCTGAGTCTCGGTCCAATCCCAGAGCTTGTGAGCCAATTGCGCGTTCTGCGCAGGCGCAGTGCCACCACTGCGATACCCAACGGGAGTGTAGTAAGCTCCATTGATGAGATTTTCCCTTGGCGTGCCAGCCGCCCAAAGAGAATTCAGGGCTCCACTAGCGACACTTCGGAAGAACGTGGAACCAACAGCAGTCAGAGTATACTTCATCGTCGAGTTAAGATTCTTCGCATATCTATAGAGCCCGCTGTCAACCGCTCCGGGGTGCACAGCAATAGACAAGATATCAGGATGCCGGCGGGCTAGCTCGGATGCAAAGAGGATATTAGCCAATTTGGAAGCGCCGTAACGCGTCCAGGTACTGGCAGCTAATAAGCCAGGGGTAGATGTAATTTCCTCAAAGGTGGAAGGGCTAACAGCGAGAGCCGCCGAAGCGACAGTCACGACCCGGACATCGGGGACCTCATCCTTGGCACGCTGGAGATCAGCGGTCTTCTGCAGAGTAGGCAGAAGCAGTTTTGTGAGCAGAAAGTGACCGATATGGTTTGTGCCGAGCTGGACCTCGAAGCCCTCCTCCGTTGTAGTTGGCGGGTTGCCCATCGTGCCCGCATTTAGTATTAGGATATCCAGGCGATCGTTATCGGACTGGAACTTGTCCGCGGCGGCGTGGATAGATTTGAAGGAGGATAGATCGAGTGCGAGGAAGCGGATATCGGCGGGGGAGGAGAGCTGGCTTTGTAGCGATTCGATTGCTTCGCGCGCTTTGCTCTCGGTGCGGGCGGCCATGTAGATGCGTGACGGGCGATGCTTGGCAAGTTGAAGGATGGTCTCTTTGCCTAGGCCGGTATTGCCTAGATCAATCAATCGCGGTGTTAGTCTTCTAGAAGCTGTAGATAGATAGAAAGAAGACATATATTGTACCTCCTGTTACAAGCACGACCTTGCCGTCCAGGCTGCGAATGTCGCGCTCTGGCTGGAACGATGCCCCGAAATAGCCGAAGGTGGCTTCATTCAAGGTCGGGCCAAAGCTCGACAGTGCCTCCAGAGGATGACGCAAGCTGTAGGTCGCGAAGCCACGAGTGGCTATAATATCACGGAGATCCATAGTTCCAGATCCAATTGAAGAATATGAGGGGTTGTGGAAGTTGGAAGCAGGTTAGCTCAGGGGGGATTTAAGTAGGAAAAGTCAATCATGACTAGGAGCCAAGGAATAACGCCGTCCATTCTTCGCATGTGAAGTTTTTCAGATCTTGATCTTATCAAGATTTCCTTCCTGGCCCGTAAAGAACAATACGGATTGGACTTGTATTTATCCTTTTGTGGATATTTGTGCATCTCACATCAGACCATGTCGAATTCATCCGCCAAGCTAGTTACTTAAACCCCGCTGCAAGTTGATCCCCCTTGTATCTCTCGAGACTCTCTCCCGGCCACTTGTCCTGTAGACTTTCTTCTCCTTGTTTTCTTTTCCTTGACGTAACACAAAAAGTTCGAAGTGTCTGACTATAGTCTCTTATCAAACAATCTACGTGACATCACTCGAAATCCAACCACAATGCGATTTCTTTGCTTGCACGGTGCCGGCACAAATGGCGAAGTAAGCATTTCAGTAGCTTTAACATAGAAGATACTGACCAGCTACAGATCTTTGAAATCCAAACTGGAGGCATCCGCCAATTACTACAGAAAAGTGGTCACCGCTTCCAATTCATGAACGGAAAGATAAACGCGAAAGTCCAAGAGGGTAAGCTCTGTTTTCTACACACGCCTAAGCCATTTACTAACCCCAACTCCAACCCAGAACTCGAAGGCATAGTGGATGGCCCCTTCTATAACCACTACACCAGAGGTACCTCACCAGGCTCCACCGTCCTTGAAGCCTTCGACCACACCAAGCAATTCATCGCAGAAGAAGGCCCATTCGATGCGGTGATAGGCTTTTCACAAGGCGCGGCACTAGCAGCTGCACTTTTAATCCACCAGAGCAAGACGCACCCGGATGAGCCGCCGCTATTCCGTGCAGCGGTGTTTATTTGCGGTGCGATGCCATGGGAGAGTTCCGGACTGGAGCAGATTGCGCCGCAGCCAGATACCTATCCGATTACCATTCCGACGGCGAATATCGTTGGTAAGGCCGATGCGCTGTTCCCCGAGGGAGTCAAGTTATTTGAGCTTTGTGAGCCCACTAAGGCGGCTTTCTATGATCATGGTTCTAAGCATATGGTTCCGTTTGATATGAAGAATACGGAGGAGATGGTTAGAGTTATCGAGGAGACTGTCGCGAAGGCTATTAGGGGTTAACTGAGATAATGGGAATTTGTGGATATAGGCAACTATTGACTTTCTACAATTCCACCTATGTTTTCCGACCTCGTAAAGTTTATAGATTGTTGTTCTTCTCTGCCTTCTCTAAATTACTACAGAATTTACACAATTCCAAGAACTAATCATGCCAAGCGCCTAAAGCACCTTCCCTGTAAGATTGGAGGTGATAATTCGACTTTGATCGATGGTAATGTGCGAAGTGGATAAATACCGGGAAAATGATATCCAAAAGTGACTCTTCAAATGGGACGCTAGGTTATGTACTATCTTGTGCATATCGCATATACTCCGTAATATAAAGTATGATCTTGGGGTGAGCAAAGTTGGAAATGATTATTTCCGACCTGTGGTTAGTTATGCGATGTTGCATGTGTCATGACTCTGGCCCTGATATTGGTTGTCTCTCGGTGGACCATCGTTGGCCGAACAGCGCCTTAAGAGGGCTTTTGGTAAGTTTGTGCAGGTTGAAAGTGGACCTCCCAGCGAACCCGGAACTAGTAAGAATGGGTTTACTAAAATTGCATAACTATTTAACTACTAGCCAACTAAATAGCCTGCCTCGGCGGAGTCAGCGGCTAATAAGAAAAACAGTTCTCACTAATCAAGGGCGAAGTGGGTGCTATTACTTCATTTGATAGCCTTGTAACTAGTGGATGATGCCCTTCTAGGACTTTCGATTATAGGAAAAAGGTGGGGTTGATGCATGAGCCTGACCTTAAAAGAGATATGCTATCCAGGCTGGCCGACGCTATCCTCCATAGCGAGTTGGCTACGCGAAAATCGCTTCAAGCTGTGGTTGTTGGGTTGGGCTGTTCTGATAACCATGTCTGTCTGTATCAGCAGCTAACACTGATAGTTGGCTTCCTTTTTAGTCTTTTACAATTTATTGCTCGGGCACCAAGGTCATCATTATTGATAGGCATGTTTCATAAAGCCTTCGAGGGATTGATAAATCATTATTATCTTTTGCGTTCGTGAGAAAGAAGCACATCGTTTCATGTTCGATAGATGCATTGCATTGACTGATCGAGACAAAGGCCTCAGATGGGGTATATGAAATATAGTGCAACAGATTATACAAGGTTCCACAGCATACTAATAATAATGGTAGCATCCATGGGTGAGATTGTCATCAGTTCTCATTGTGGGCTTTAATTCGGAGTACATCGAAATAAATATCCGATCAATCCGCCTTATATACTTCGTACTTTTCCATATCGGATATTGCAATAGATTTGTTTTCTGTTTGTCGCAACTTGAGGCTTGTTTCATAGATTAATCATTTACTTCCTTGAAAGGTACCCCGTACATGTAGCGCCAAGTCAACGAGACCTCGGCGGAAAATGTTGCCAAATGCCAGAAATGCCAGTTGCTACTAATAATAGCACGTGGGCGGGTTCCTCGAGCAACACACTTCTAACACTTGTGTGAATAGGCAGCCGTATAATAGAAAGCTTTGGAAACAGACTATTTCTGCACTGAGTAGTCTCTACGGAGTACAAAGTCATGGATTTACATATACTTGTATGAAGTATAAAATACCTAATACCATCGACTATTGTATATGCTTATAGTAAACTCCCACATTGTGCCTGTTTGTGGTAGATAATTTTCTTTTGATCATCCCACCACGATCTAGGCTGATTCAACACCACTGGCTTCGCAGCCAATAAATGCCAGTGGTCCTAGACTTGAAAATATTCAACATTCAATCCCAAAGACCAAAACCGGGAGCCTGCTTTGTACTGAGAACGCCACAACACGTGACTCTGGGCAAAGCCGCCTCAGCGGCAACTCACAACTTGTCAGCTTCACTCCAGACAACACCGTTAATCCCTTCCCCTCCGTCACCTGCCGTCGCGCTGTATCCCAATCTTTATCAGCATACAATAGCTCTTCCCCATACACACCGTCTGCGTTGATTTTAGTCCCTCAGACTCCCCCTTTACTGCGCCTCCCCATCAAAACAGCGCAACCCCTAGTGCTCCTGCGAGTTCGTCTAGACACTCCCAATATCCGGCAATCAAAAATCTGAGCTTCTCTCAAATTCATTCACGACTCTCATAATGGCTGCCTCCGAACAACCTTACGACCCCTATATCCCATCTGGCTCCGCTGGAGCCCCCGCTGCCACCGGGCAGAATGGCAACCAGCGAACCGCCGCTTTGCAAGCAGTAAGTCAATCCTCGACAATCTCTTGACTCCTAGCGACCTCAGCCAGTGAGCAAACAGACAAATATGGTCTGGTGGATAGCGCATGCTTGCTCCCTTGTTGAGCTATCAAAATGCGAAGGCTGGGGCGGTTGATTCTCGCAATGGGGCTGACATGGTATCATCTATAGCAAATCGATGATACTGTCGGTGTGATGCGCGAAAACATCAACAAGGTTTCCCAACGTGGTGAGAACTTGGATTCTCTCGAGACACAGACCAAGAACCTCGCCGTCTCGGCCCAGGGCTTCCGCCGAGGTGCCAATCGCGTTCGCAAAGACATGTGGTGGAAGGACATGAAGATGCGCGTGTGTCTAGTCATCTGTGTGATTGTTCTCCTGATTGTTATTATTGTGCCTTCCGGTAAGC